AGAACTAAACAAAGCCGCATACCCATTGTGAAGGTCCGTTGGAATGCCAAGCGAGGACCTGAATACACCTGGGAACGCGAGGATCAGATGGTTTATGAAATGTTTTATACTGATGGTTTATGAATGTTTGGCCTTGAATTTTGGGATGTTACAGTCGAGTTCTCGTACAACAATAGCTATCACACTAGCATCAAGGTTGCTCCATTCGAAGCCCTCTATGGCGTCAAGTGCAGATCACCTCTGTGCTGGGCTGAAGTGGGTAACACGCAACTAGCTAGAGGACAAGTACCTAACAACACTCTCACTGGCCCGGAAATCATAAAGGAGACTACAGAGAAGATTGTCCAAATCCGAGAATGACTTAAGGGTTCAAGAGACAGACAAAAGAGTTATGCGGATAAAAGACGGAAACCCTTGGAATTCCAGGTTGGGGACCGGGTACTATTGAAAGTCTCACCCTGGAAGGGTTTAATACGTTTCAGAAAGCGTGGGAAACTAAACCCAAGGTATATCGGACCATTCGAGATCCTTTCCAGGATCGGTCCGGTGGCGTACAAACTTCGATTACCGCAGGAACTCAATAACGTACACCCTACGTTTCACGTGTCGAACCTAAAGAAGTGCTTATCCGATGAGACCCTCATCATCCCTCTGGACGAAATTGAAATCAACGAGAGTCTCCACTTCGTAGAAGAGCCAGTAGAGATCATGGATCGGGAAATTAAAAGAACTAAACAAAGCCGCATACCCATTGTGAAGGTCCGTTGGAATGCCAAGCGAGGACCTGAATACACCTGGGAACGCGAGGATCAGATGAAACAAAAGTACCCACATCTTTTTCCTAGTCCATAAACTCTGTCTTAGGTTAAATTTCGGGACGGAATTCCCTCTAACGGGGGGATGATATGACAACCCGATATTTCGAGTCAATGTAATGTTCAAAAAGTCAAATATTATAAACTATTTTGAATCAATAAAAATAGCGTCAAAAATGAAGTGTTCTAAGGTCTCAATTGGGATACAGAAAGTGTTAGGTATCGCGTCAAGGTTTTCAGAAATATAAAGAACACTCAAATCCGAGTTACAATGAAGAAGTTATGATTTTTCTAATTTTCGAAGTAGCAGTAGACAGCTAAAAACTCGAAATAGAAATCGAACGACTTTTAGCCGACGCGACCTAAACGAGAATCAAAGATCTCGTCAATGGTAATACAACGGTAAAAAGACAGACGAAAACAGACGTCGGATGAAGAAGTTATGATTTTTCTAAGTTTCGGAGTAGCAGTAGACAGCTAAAAACTCGAAATAGAAATCGAACAACTTTTAGCCGACACGACCTAAACGAGAATCAAAGATCTCGTCAATGGTAATACAACGGTAAAAAGACAGACGAAAACGGACGTCGGATGAAGAAGTTATGGATTTTTAACGGACTTTTCCAGTCCCGGCCTGTTAAAAAATATATTATTAAAAATAAAGTCAAAATTAGTCGATGAAGTCTAAACGAGAGTTGTAGAGTATATTCTCACCTTCGCGTGCATATAAAGAACGTCGAAAACGGAGCTCGTACGCGAAAGTTACGGATTTTACAAGTTTTGGGCACACACTTCGAGGCGGGTCCGAAGGGAACGCCCTGCATTCCGAGGAACGCGCCGCGTTCATGCTCGCATACCTGACTCTTCGCCATCCCATCCGAGGTTCGTAAGCGATGATGTAATTCAGCTTCGTAACGCGCTGCGTTCAGGAGAACGCCCTGCGTACCCAGCAGGAACGCCCCGCGTTCGCACCATGACCAGCCTCTATAAATAAGATGTGAGGGTTCCAACTTCCCTTGCTCATTTCCCTCTTCTCTCTCACTTCTACTCTACGTTTAGCATCCCGAGACGACCCCGACACCCCGGTTACATATCCAAGTTCCGACGAAGGTCCGAAGCTCCGAAAATCCCAAGAAACTTACCACTTCCCGGTCGAAGCGCTACCCGAGTAAAGTCTCGTTTTCATCAAATCATCACACTTTCCAGGTGAGTTCTTACCCCTACATTTTCACGTCTTTTTCATGTTTTAGGGGGGGATACAAGTGAAACACAAGAAAAACTTATGTTCAAATACGCACCGTTATATATGGTTTCGAATATTTTACTTACATCCTATTTATAATGTTAAACAACATTAACGCCAACGTTACACTTTACATGCAAAGTTGGTATTACGTCAAGTTTTTATCACCAAATGGAACACACTTTTGAAAAACTATAATAGGTGTAGTTTACGAAATATTCATGACAACTTTACATAAAAATGATAAAAAGGAAATACTTTTATTTACAAGTAATGTGGACCTTTCGTTCCGTAAATCTATTGATATTAAGTTTTGTGAGACATCCGGCTTCACCGTACTCTCAAATACGCATTTCAAGTCCTGTATTATAAACCATAATCTCTTGTAGGGAGAGTGTGATACTTGTGTATAGATCTATACGGGATTGACAATCCCGCACCTAAACTGTTAGCTACAGTTAGACCGGCAGGTCTGGGGTGACAAACGTCATAACACTGCAACGCCTGAAGAACGTTGTTACAGGCAGTCTGGGTCAATAGCATGGTTATAAATCTCACATGGAATATCGAAATATTTTGATTTACGAGACTCTTAAATGCATTCAGTGTTACATTATATATGTATAAATCCACTTTCACCATTTTAGCATGAAAGATACTATTGCATTCCAGCCTTTGGTACTTGTTCAAACTATCACACTTACATAGAAAATATTGGATTTTCTGGAATCAGTAATACATGTAACCAACTTAATTGTTGACACTTTTTCAAAACTACTTGTATTTCTCAGGGAATCAGTAATACATGTAACCATCAGCTTTTGGAGAAGGAACGCTAAGGCGTCTGTTATCAAAACATTTTAAATCATCATATTTGTAATATTCTTTTGAAACATGTATTACATGGAACGATGTAACTTTTATTATATTTATGATGGTTGGGTTACTTTCTTTACAATTGTTATGATACTACGTGAAGTTATCCACCCCCGAATGTTTCCGCCATTCTGGTTTGGGGGTGACAATTTACGATGGATAATTATGTCTACGTTAAATCATTAATATTTCATGGCATAATTTTTGTTACGAGTTATTTTGTCTGTCATAACATTGTTGTACGTCGTAATTCGACTGTCATTGAAAGTGTTTTTTCTAGTAGTGAAAAATGCCACTAACCCTTTAGTGTCACTTTTTGCTTTTGCCGGTGCAAATTTGTAAGCTTTTAGTGACACTTTTTATTTGTCGCGATAGAAGAAAGGTTTTTTGTAACACATATTTTGTGTCATTAAAAGCTCATTTTATTCAAGTATTCATTTTACTTTTAGTTACACATTTGAAGATTTTATTGACGCTTTTATTTGCCACAATACAAAATCACATTTTGCGCCGGTAAATATTCATGAGATTCTATAATTTAAGCCACCTATATCTACATAATTTTTTATCTATAATATAAAAGGGTAAATTACACGGATGGTCCCTGTGGTTTAGGGTAATATGCGTGTTTGGTCTCTAACAACTTTTTTTTACTCGGACCGTCCGTACTTTATATTTTTTTGTTGCACGATTGGTCCTTATCAGATGTAAAAATACTACTCTGCCCTCATCTTATATAATTTTGTATTAATGATTTATTTATTTTTTTATTAGTATATAAATTAAATATTAAAAAGGTAAAAAACAATCCTAAGCGTCATCTAACCCCACTTCCCAATTCCCTCAGTCACGTTTTCTCTCACCTCCCGTCTTGTTCATCCATCGCCTCCAACCCCCTTTACCATCGTCGGCCACCAACAGCTATTGCCCCCGTCACCAACTTCCGATGATGGTTGTCTTTCCATCGTGTTCTTCCTTCAAAGCCCACCGACTGAATCACAAAAATCTCAGAGCATATTGACGAAGTTCGCCAAAGAAGGAGGAGATGAAGCAGACACTAGAAGCAGACGAGACGATAAAATCTTGAGCCATTAGCCTCTTTCCCCATCTCGTATTAGGAAGCATGTTATCGAACCAGACACGACAAATACTATAGATCTAGGTTGCAGCAGGACTGCGGTTCACCTTTGCCCTTTACCCTCGTCGGCGCCCAAACCAACCCTACAACACCGGTTCGATTTCAATTTCAGTTCAATTTCATATTTGATTTCGGTTTTAGGTTTGAATTCATATTTTATTTTGAGTTTTGAGTTTGATTTCACTTTCAGTTCGATTTCAAGCTTCAAATTGCCATCAATTTTGATTTCAGTTTTCATGGTTTCAGGATTGCTTTCAAGATCAATTTAAGGTTCAAGTTCCAATTTTGGTGATTATCGGAATCTGATTTGTTGCCAGAGAAGACCAGAATCTCCATCGATTTCATAAGAAACCACTTATTTGACTTCTGATAACGTGGCTCGGAGCCACCAATGACCTGTTTGAGATCTCTTCCCGGTTGATTTCTGTTTTTTTTTTAATTCATGAAATGTGTTTGGGTTTAATGGAGGTTTACTAGAGAAGACATTATTTTGATTTTGGTTTGGTATTTGTTGTTGGTTCGCCGGAGAAGACAAAGTTGTGGTTGGTTTACAGAGAAGAAGAGGGGTGGGGTGGAGTGATAATCTAGGACCCATCAGATTTTAATATTTAATTAATATCATTTCCACATTTAATTATTATTTTTTTAATTAACTGATAATTTAAAAAATGTAAAAGAAGTCAATAAAGGTAAATCATTCTTTTTAGAACGAACAAGGACCAAGCGTGCAACAAAAATTTAAAATAAGCACAATCCGAGTTAAAAAAAAGTTATTAGGGACCAAACACACAGATTACCCTAAACCACAGGACCATCCATGTAATTTACCCAATATAAAATAAAATACATAATTAAATTGTAGCACATAGAAAATAATAGAAGTTCTATTGTCTTTTATCAATATTTTTAAACTTTTTGAATCAAGTACGGCTAAACATTTGAAAAATAATAAAACTTCTATTGTCTTTCATCAATAATTTTAAACTTTTTGATTCAAATATGGCTAAACATTTGAAAAATCATCTACAGATCCTTGGGTAGAACCTTTGGGTACTTGAGGCGTCGCTTGCAATGGCTCCTAAGGAAGCCTACATAATAAGAACATACAACAAATATGACAATTGTTATCCTATTGTTTTTATCCCACTTTCAAAATAATAGCATCACACTTTGAAAGTAGGTCGTTATACTTTGAAAGTGTAGCAACCTACTTTCAAAGTATGTTGCTATTACTTTGAAAGTGGGACAGAAAACATTGTTTAAAAAAAGAGTAAATGAACTTTGAAATGATTAAGTACAAAAGAAGATGATAATATAAGTCAAAATATAAAGCACCTCTTTGTGAGCAAGACGAGTAGATGATTTTCTTCCGGAAACATGGGATTCATTTTGTTTTCTTTTTTGTAATTTATCCAAAAAGAAACGGTTACCAACTTTTGGTGGCATGTAGCTATATAAATTAGTTTATTTGACGCCTCAAATGTCATATAACACATAGAAGTAAAAAAATATAAATAAAAAATTTCATTAGAGTTCTCTAAACATGTGATGGTTGAGACATACAGTTTAACCATTATCTTACTTGTTGAGTTTGAGTATTACGAAAACTCCACATAGGATGAAAGCAACTGCAACAAGCAGCCATCCACCAATAATCAATATGCATCATAAAGAACATCCATCACGAAAATTACGATCATACCCTCCAAAAAAAAGTAAAAATAAATAACTTACAAGTGGATTGCATTTTTGTGACCAAGTATCGACAAAACTGCAAGAAAAAAACCCGAAAATTATGGCAAAATAAACACTATAAACAATGAGCTTCTTATGAAGACTTAAAAAGGCCTAAAATGGAAACAATGAGCATTACTATCGCAACAGTAATCATGGAAGATGGCCTGGAATAAACTAAAAAAAAAAAAAAAAAAAAACATCATTTAAGAATATTTGACATAAATGAACTAAAAAAAGGTCAGATGTTGTATTTTTGGATCATACACGACATAAAAAATGATTCTTATTTTTCTTGAATTCTGATGTGTTTTCCTTCCCAATGTATCTGAAGCAGAATTTAAGTTTTGTCAATATTGTCTTTCACATCTGAAGGAAGGTAAAACTGTGCCACATTGGCGGTTTTTTGCTCATGACAAATACCTAATCTGATTGGTTCACAACATAATTTAATGTGTCCAATGCTTTGATCACCAACAAACTCATCTTGCCCAATTGAAAGAAGAATGCATCTAGTTCTCAACAAGAAATTATATTTCGTGATCTATATAACAAAATCATAAATATACTTCATGCTTTCTTTGAGTTCATAATTAAAACTTATGCTGCAACACATTTGAAGATGATGAGCAAAATCAAGCATAATGTCTGAGAAAGTCTAGATTTTTTGCCTTTGATGTCGATTCTCCATCCACATAAGTGATGTGTGATCATGGTGACACCAAAGAACACAAACCATATCATACCAAGAATCAAAGCAACAGACCTTGTAAATCCCTCAACCATCACATGTTTATATCTTTAAAAAGTTAGGAACTTTATAAAAAGTATTAAGAAACTTATGCATCATAGGAAGTTTCTAGATAACAATTACCACGTTAAATCTTAGGAAAATCATATACATCATAGGCTTGACGAATCATTGTATCTAATTACTACAATAACTCTTTATAACATCAGGATGGAACTAGTTCACCTATAAAAAATAAAATAAGAGTAAAAACAACTATTAGAGTTCTCCCTTAATTTATATCGTGTTCATAATTTTTAACATTTACAAATTAGTGAACACCAACTCCTTGTGTTTATGAATTCTATGACACTAGAGCAGTACACACAAATCTTATCAGGGACCAAATATATTTGCAAATGGACTTTAAACATATTGAACAGTGGGAATAAAACCATGGAATAATTAAAAAAAATAATAGAAACATACTTTGGCACGAAAAGTTGCTTTGAGGTTTGACCAAGTGCAATCAGTCGTTATGTCGAGCACCTGGTATGCAGAAGAAACAGACATGGTGTTTTGATCTACATTACTGTCTCTGACAGAGTTCACCCTGAATTGGTTGTCGGTATCTTAAAAAAGAAACGATTTAGGTAATTGTTTTGATTTAAATCATATGATTCGACTCCTAAGTCGTAAACATGAAACTAAGCACATTGGGAATGATTTAGGGCACAAGGTCTTCCGATTTTGACGTACTGCGTTTTCCTCTAGTGAGAATTTAACCGAAATCCTTAGGGGGCATATCAATGGATCGTATATCCGAGTGTTGCGTGTGTATGTTGGGAGAATTTGAAGCTAGGAGTAGAAGATGAAAACTTAACTCAATATACAAGTATACAAGAGCTGGAAAAATCTTAATCATTATCCATGTTACCAAATTGAAGTCAAGACTAGCGATGGTGAATAAATGTGACGGCGACAGTCGACAAATGCCACGGCAGAGTTGGAGCAGGTGGCGATGACACCGATAAAGCAGGGACGATGGTTTCGGTGGAGCAGGGTGATGGCGTGCTGAATAGCTGATTGTTTGAATCGTTGCTGGTAAGGGTTTTAAGAGTGGGAGGGGATAAAATGTAAAATAGAGAAAAAAAAAAAAAAAAAGGTAAAACCACCTATTTGCACATGAAACTATGAAAGGATATAACTGAACCATATATGATCAGCGTTAATAGAGATTAAGAAATAGGAATCAAATCAAAAGAAATTAAATATCCTTCTATTTTTTTTTCTATAAATCTTCATATCCAAATAAATAGTTGTAATATTTAAACCATATATGATCAGCTTTAATACAATTAACCATATATAAAATAGGAATCAAATCAAAGAAATTAAATATCCTTTTATTTTTTTTTTACTACAAATTTTCATATCCAATTAAATAATTATATCTATAACATTTAATGCTCATTTAATGAAATTTAATAATATTTTATTATACTAATATGACGCATGTCATCATTTAATTGAGTAGAATAATTTTTAGGAACAAAAAGTAAAAGATATTAAATTTCTCATCAAATTAATAAACAATTATGGAAAATGGTCAAAAGTTATAATTTTCTAAGAGATCGAGGACTTGGTTTGTAATTTACTTTTTCTTATATAACAGTTATACATTTATAGTCTATAATATATTTAATAAAATATAACTTTTAATGGTATATTAAAACACTATGTCTCTATAATCATAAATATTATTGACATAAAACATTAAAAGTTAATAAATTTATTAATTTATATAGTGGCACATAAAATATGTCTCTAGAAACATGATATAGTGGCACATAAAATATATGACATTAAAAATATGTTACTAAATGACATGTTGTTTGTAGTGTTTGCTAGATCAATGATATATAAAGTGACACCATGTTAATTTTATTATAGATTTCTTTTTATTGCGGTTTTGGCAATTTATGTCATTAAACAAAGTAATACAAAAAAAATAATAACTTTGTGAAATATGTTATAATACAATATGTACCAAAAGCTTTTAAACAAAAAACCTTAGACCCGAGGCGAAGCACAAACATTTTTACTAGTTACGATAAGAGATAACCTTTTATTTCTAAAAAGAATTATTATTTAAATAACTTATCGCAATTAGAGACAACCTGTCGCGTCTAAAAGAAATTAAGTAATCAAATAATATTTTACCTATACAGACAACATGTGGTCTCTAAAATCCAATCACTTTCAGTGAAGACACACGTGTTGTAGCCAAAAAACATTCAACGACAGGGCTACAAAACGAGGTAGCTGTCTGCGACAACCACCATCGTCCCTATTAATCTTTAGCGACAGCAACGATACTTTTAGAGACAACATTTCTCGTCTCTAAAAAGCATTTTTCTTGTTGTGTTAATTTTTTTTCTTTTAAATTATAATGATTATAAAAATATAAAAATTTAACATAAAGTTTTAAAATACATATAAAAAATGATTAGGATTAATACCATATTTTAAAAGTTAAGAAGAATAATATTATATTAAGATTTCAGGTTAGATTAATATTATATTTTCATGTTTAAAGACAAGAATCACTCGTTAAAAAAAATGGGGAAATTGAGTAATCTAACCTTTATAAATGATCTCTTTCATAAAAATGACCAAAGTTTTTTTTTTTAAGTAACCACATTCTTCGGAACACATACTTTCGGAGAGATCTCCGGAATTCCGGACCATGATTCCGGAACACTTGGTATTTTTCTTTATAAGGGTTAGATTACTCAAATTCCCTTTATATAATGTATATCTCTTTTCGGACAGGCCTCCGAAACACTAGAGTATGATTCCAGACCACAGTTCTGAAACGTTTTTTTTGTTATTTGTGTAAATGTGTTTTTTTTTTGTTTTCTTTTTGTAGAATTTTTGTTTATATATTAAACAAAATGCAATTGATAATCTTAAAATCAACAAAAACAAAATAAATTTATAAACTTAATGGATTTATTTGAAGTAATATTACAATGTTCAAATCATCTTATTCCTTGTACTACAAAATATTTCCGCCAATCGTTTACGATATGACATATCTCATGTACCACTTAGACCATCTATAAGATGATCAACGCTTCTAGGAACCAACACAAAAACACCTCATAATCCCCTCTATTGTCAATTTGTTGTGGTATCTGTGGCGCCTTTTCGAGGGTCATGTTGAAACTCTCAAGTGGGATTGAATAACTTGGTTCGGTACCCCCAATAGTTGATACCCACTAATAGTTTGTGGATGTGGGATTGCATGCCGATAAACCAATCCTTGTTTACTGAAAAGTAGCCGCTCGTCCAATGACTAATGTATATGTATTTGTAAAGTCTTCAAAATCAAGGCACCCAAAAACTAGTGAGCAATTGGTATATTGATTGAGATGTAAAGCTACAAAAAAGGTTAGAAATAATTAAACATCAAATAACATTTTATTACATACATACTTAGGTAATTTACTCGAAACACAATTATACTATATCACAGTCTGTCCAAGCTGGGCAAACGAATCCGTCAGCCATGTCACTCTAGTCAAATGTATCAAGTTTTGAAAGTTGTCAGTATAACCGCCCACCAAGCATCATCATGTCTATGCTCCACTAGCAATGAGATCCACAAAATGATGTGCTGCCAATTAAAAATATTTGCAGTTAAGTAAGTGTTGTTAGTAGAAGCATATTACGTAAATGAGCAAGCTAATAGTGTACCTTACATCATATTCCAACCACCCTGCGTGACTATCCGCATATAAGCGCGTCCAAAATTCAATCGTCAGAATACCAGTCAAAAAACGGTGAGTGAACAATATGAACCATCTCATTGTTTATAAAGTGTGTATGGAAGGTTCTAAGAGATTGTCTAACGGTGTTGTCCGTTGTCGAACAAAATCTTTCATTTTCATTTGTATCCATGGGGACTTATACTATATGAACATTACTTTTTGGCGCATACAACTGCAAAGTGATGGAGGGGGCGTTTTGTATTGATCCTGCGAAATCTCTTTTACATCCGACGAAAGAATAAATGGAGAATGCTGCTTAGGGCCGTCACGCAGTGACTTTTCGGGTGTGCCTGACCCGTAATCATGGTCCCATAAGTCATTTTCATTATACTCTGCGGTACCAAAATCTTCTTGAGGATTGTTATTGATAAGTTTTAGAAGCTTGGCTAAAGTAGCCTCATGCTCTGCTAAATGTTCATTGTGTGACCTCAACTGCTCGTGATATTCACTGAGGTCATTTTTTCAACTGACGGACCTCGTTTTGCAATTTAGTAATTATTTGGTCCTTATCAGTTGATGGGTCAGCGGCCGATAGTGGTGGTGGTAGGGGTGGATGGAACAACTATCCTTGCCTTATTTTGTCAAGGCTCATGGGTAGGGAGGAGTTTTTGGGTGACGGTGTTAGTGAAGTACCTGTGAACTTTAGTGTCGTTAAAAATTAGGGCCATCAATCCACCTCGAGCTAAATATTGTCACAACTGGCATTTTAGCTAGGAAATTCTATTCCTGTGTAACCATTCAACTATTGTAAAACTTATATTCTTAGTAAATCTCACTCAATGCACATTTAGATTCACCATTCATGTTCATCAAAGAGTCTGAAGCCCTAAGATCCATGGTTTAAGTCCATATTGGACTAGGAGTTCCTTATTGGGCCTAATGGACCAATAAGCACCCAATTCAACTTTATTGGACTTAGAAGCCCTAATTGGATCCTAATTGGACCCAATTCATAAATCTAAAACATTTTGGACCATTTGGGTCTAGAATGATTCATTCTAACCCTAATGGGCCTTATTGGGCCATAACTAATCCAATTAACCTTAGTGAGCCATAAGCCCATTCTTTTATTCTATGTGGGCCGTGAATGCTTCCAAGAGCCCAATGGGCCGAAAAACCTTATGTTTAGGATCCAAATGTCCTAGCTAAAGTTAATGGGCCCAAACTACTCCATCATTTCTTCTTGGCCCAAAATGTCGGCCCATGTATTAAAAAAAGGGAAAAGAAGAGATTAAGGGGGGGTTGACTTTGGAGTGCCACCTCCATAAAATCCAACATGCATCTACGCTTTAAACCACCATGCACCAAGCTAGTCACCTCACATCTCTCCTCTCCCCTCTTCTCTTCTTCTCTCGGCCGAATGCCAAACACACACACACACACACACCAAATTCTCTCCATTCTCTCAAGGATCATCCATCTTCTTCCTCCAAAATTCTCAAGATTTAGCTTGGTTCAAGAGGATTTTCACAAGATAATCATCATTCTTGGTAAGCCTTACACACTCAAGTTTTATAACTCTATCTTCATGATAGATCGCTCTTTTAAACAAAGTTTTTGGTGATCATACTCCTAGAAATCTTCTTAAGTTCGAGATCCACTCAAGGGAGTTGCTAGGGCTCTTTCCACTTCTTCTTCAAAAACCGAAACATCAAGCAAAGGTGAGTTCATACCCCCTTGTTTTCGGTTTTCATATGATTTTTGGGGGAGAATGCAAGTAAAAAGTGTAGATCTATGTGTTATATGCATGTTTTGTGTGAACTCTTAGTTTATTTGGTAAAAATGTGTTAGATCTTAGTGAATCTTAAAATTTTAAGAATTATGTAGCAAAGATCTAAGAACTACAACACTATATACATCATATTATCAAGCCAAAGTGAACACTTGTTTAAGTGTAAAAGAATTCAACAAAAACCTTGTTAAAGGTCAAAATTGTCAAGAAAACAAAAGATAAGCGTAAAAAGTGAAAATTATGTTTTTAAAAAGGGCCAAACAGGCCCTACATGTATAAAAAGGTATTTTTATACTAAACATACTTTTCAAAGGGCCAAAAATGCAAATTTAAGCTTATTGGGCTAAAACTTTTGGGCCTCACGGCCTTTGGGCCCAATTTGCGAAAAAATGAAGTTTTAAAGGTTTAAAAATGTTATTTGGCCAAAGTTTGAGTCATAAATGTAAATAAACCAAATTTAGAGGTGAAAATATCATTTATTTTCAAATTGGACCAAAAAGGTAAAGTTTTCCAAAAATTGGGTCGAAAGTGTAAACTTTTACAAACAAGGGGCTGAAAATGTATTTTTCTGCGAAACAGGGTGCTAAATGTAAAAATATAACATTTTGGGTTAAAACCGTAAGTTTCTAGACATTTGGGACAAAATTACAAATTTTTATAAATTATGGACTAAAGTATCATTTTTTACAAAACTTTGGGCCTTAATTAAAGATTGGAGTATTATTGGCCAAAAATGTCATTTTTACAATATGAAAGCTTTTTATCATCAATCTATAAAGCCTCGAACTAAAACAAACAACATAATCAAACGAACGAACAAAGTACGTCAAAAACTATTTATTGGGCCCAATATTCACATTTCTTGGCCATTGGGCCCTAAGGGCCCAATTAAGTGTGTATTGAGCCCAATGTTTTCCATGACATGTTTATTGGGCTTTGTGGCCCACTTACATGTTAATTTGGGCCTAAGTTATGGATTACATGTTTATTGGGCTTTTGTGGCCCATTTACATGCCTATTGGGCCTAAATTACCCTTTTACATGTGATTGGGCCTTTGTGGCCAAATTTCATACTAATAGGGCTTGGAATGGAAATTTCATGTGTTAGTAAGCCATAACGATACCCTTATGTAATCATTAAACTTCGTAAACTTAATCATGTACCTTTCGAATACAAAAACATCTCACATATACGTAAACATTAGACATAGTATAAAAAGAGGTTGAGAATCTAGTGAGACTTATCGGTTGGCACCACTGAGTGTACAATCGTAGCCTGTAGTAATAATCAGAGTTTCCTGGTAGGAAAGCGGGAGTTTGTGTATAGATCTATACGGGGTGACCCCCCACGCCTTAGTTGTTCGCTACAGCTAGACTAGGCCAGTCTAGGGCGACAACATCCTTAGCAAGACCGGCATTTGGAAAAATACCAAGACGGGCGACCTAGTCATTATCATGCATGGTTATAACGGCTCATATAGGGATTCAATACCAAAAGTAAACTTTCGAAGATAAACTCTTTGATTGTGTC